ATAAATTTATTCTATAAATTCTATATATAAGTCACTTATCAGACATGTCACTACCAAATATTTTTTCTCCAATCTGTGTTGGTGGAGTATAAAATGGTGAAACCACTTTGGAAGGCAGTATGGCCCATTTTCAAAAAGTTGCAAATAGAAATACCATTTGATCTAGCAATTTCACTACTGGGAATATACCCTAAAGAAACCAGAACTGCCACTCAAGCATATATATATATGCACATCCATGTTTATTGCTGCTTTGTTCACAATAACAAAGATTTGGAAACAACCCAAGTGCCTATCAACAAATGAATGCATAGAGAAGCTGTGGTATATTCACACAATGGAATATTATACAGCACTGAAAAACAAAGAACTCATTAACTATTCTACAAAATGGGTGATCATGGAGGACATTATGCTGAGTGAAATATCTAAGTCACAAAAAGACAAATACTGTATAATGCCATTATTATAAAACAGGATTGAGAGGGGAGTTGGGAGGAAACTAAGAAGAGATAAATAATGTACATGGCATTGAAACAGACAAGGGAAAGAAATGTATAAAAGGAATATGTGATTAAGTATTATTGGTATGACAAGAGTCCAGAATAAGAGCTGCATAGTAAAGTGGTCCGGGTGTGTGTGGGGGGGAATGTATAACAATGAAAGAACTTTTTTCCAAAGAAAATAAAGAGAACTGGTGGGGTGGGGGTTCAGTGAGGTAAATGTGCAACAATGAATGAATAGAAATCCAAGTTCTTTATAAAACTTACAATAAAATCTCAATTAAAAAAAACAAAGTGTGCAGAGAAGTAATTAAGATTCTGTAGGTATAGAAAAATGCTTTAGTTCCCCAAGATTTTCTTTCCTACCACTGATTATTATGTAGACTCTATGCAGAATTGCATTTGTTAGACTTCTGAGAATACTGTTAATTAAAAGTGAGTCAGTCTAATGGTATAATTTACTGTAGGCATGGGAATCAGGCTATTGTATTAATCTCTGGAGCCCTGTAGATACCTTGAGTGGGTAAATTAAGTAGCACTGCTTCTATTTGTTCTTCTGTAGCCTGGCTGATAAATTGATTTCTATGGAAGAGGAAATTTAAAAGTTCTGATGAGACAAATGGTAAAGGGAAATAGAATGCATACATTAAAAATGTGAAAACCTAGCCTTAAATAATTGAAACTAATTCTGCAAATGAATGATCAGACAAAATATGAGGCACACACAAAATCTACTCTTCCCCAAATACATAATAAAAGTAAACATTATGGAAATCCAAAGCCTCTATAAACTTTCATTAAAATATCAATTAAAAAATTAAGGCTATAATTAAGATAATTTGCTTGTAAGCTTACCTTACAGTGTTTAAATTGCTTGTGATGACATCAGGAACTTCATACCTAGGTCTCAAGGGAGTTTCTTCATTGATTTTAAGCCTGAAAATGTTTCCCTCTAGACCATAAACTTCAGCCAGAAGAGGAATCTATGAATAGACATATGAGATTAGTTTCAACGGGTTACCCTAGGGATAGTTAGTTATATTCAACCAAATTATAGTAATTAGAAAAATATTTAAGTAACATTATTGTTGTTAGGCTCAGACTCACAGTAACACTATGTATAAGAGAACAAAATACTTCTCAGTCCTATGCCATATTCACAATAGTAGCTACATTTGAGCTCACTGTTGAAAACACTTTGTCACTACATCAATCTTCCTCCCTTTCTGTAGGAGTATGACACCCTTTTCTAAGGACTGGTCTCTCCTGCCAGCATGTCTAAAGTATGTGATGTGAAGCAAAAATCTCACTAATCTTATTTGTAAAGAACACTCAAAGCTGTCCATTTTCCAAAACAGATTTTGTTTGTTTCGGCAGTCCATAATATATTCAATACTCTTCACTAAAACTATTAAATCAAAGGCATCAATTCTTCTCCAGTATTCTTTATTCCTTGTCCATCTTTAACCTGCATAAAAGGCCAGCTGAAACTACCAAGGCTTTTGGTCAGGTGTACCATAGTCCTCAAAGTGACATTTCAACTTTTTTTTAAAATAATTTTAATGAACATGTACAGAGAATTTGGATTTCCATTCATTCATTGTAGTTTTTTTACATTTTCTTCTCTCTTTCCCTTTTTTAAATAACTTTTTAAAATTGTTGAACATTTTCTTCCCTCTCCTGCTCTCCCCATCTCCAACCCACCTCACAATGGACCCTTTGTTCCAGACTGTTGTCATACATATTATGTCTAGTAATATATTCCTTTCAAACATTTCTTCCCCTCATCTGTTCTAATGCAGAGTTCATTATCTATTCACTCTTTTCCAATTCTCTCCCCAACACCACCCCATGTCTGTCCTATTTTATAAGTGGTGTTATGCAGTGTTACTCCTTTTGTGACTGAGATATTTCACTCAGAATAATGTCCTCCTGGCTCTCCCATGTTGTATAATGTTTTATGATTTCATTGTTTTTCAATGCTGCGTAGTGTTCCATTGTGTGAATGTCCCATAGTTTTTCTATCCATTCATTTGTTGATGGGCACTTGGCTTGCTTCCATCTCTTTGCTATTGTGAGTAACACTACAATAAACATGGGGTGTGCAATATTATTTGAGTTGTGGCTTTGGTTTCTTTTTTTTTGTTTTTGTTTTTTATTTACAACTTTATTGGCAAAAAGGAAGAGAGAGAAGTTGAGAACAATTTAACACAGGGTATCATTGCTGATCCTGTCAGATCAAAAATGCTCCCTCTCAAATAGTCATCTAATTGTCCAAAGATATACAACACTGAATTTGCATATGTTATTTCTTCTGTGAAGTACAGCGTTCATATTTAGGCAATCTTTATAATACATAAATACAAAGGAAATAAAATCACTCATTAAAAATGGCATTAAATGAAATCTTTTATATTTGGGTTTATGTTGTTCCTGGTAATAATGCATGCCCAATGAAAATCAAAAGCTGGAAAAGCAGTTATACTTCTTGAGTGGACAGTTACAACAATCATTTTCTGAAATGACCACATTTCAATTTATCATGAACTACTCTGAACTTACTATGAGATGTAGTCAAAATTGGAAGAGAAGAAGTAGGGAGAACATTCCTTTCTTTGGAGAGTAAGCTCTCCAGAATCAGCAAGGTAAATAAACATATCCTTTTGAAGAATTCTAGGTGGAACAAAATTTATGTAGTCACTTTCAACTCATACTGAGCTGACTTAATTTGTTCATTAAGTTGCTTAGTGTCATTCTTCTAAATCAAGTGTGTTTAATTCTTCTTCTAGCTCATCCAAATCTTCCCCAGTGAACAGATTTTCATCAACAGGAACAGCATCAATGGCTCCATTTCCCAGTACTGCCCTTTCGTTGTCCTCTTCCAAATCACTTCTTTCCCCATTTTCAGCCTGACCTCCAGAAGCTTCACTCAGTTTGTTTTCGTCTTTTTCTGATGTGTATGTGCTGAATCTTTCAAGACTGGCAACAGTAATACCGGTCTCATCTACATCTCTTGGAATGTACAGGCTTACATC